AGTCCAGATTTGAATCCGTTGGACTATTACGTGTGGAGCGTCATTGAACGAGTGACCAACAAGTCGAGACATCCCAATGTGACATCTCTCCAAACCGCTATCGAAGCAGCATTCGCCAATATAGACAAGGACGCGTTGCAGAGAGCGTGCCAGCGCTTCAGGATGAGGATCGAAGCAGTCATCGAAGCAAAAGGGGGTTATATAGAGTAATTTTACTCTAAAAGGATACCACTAGTGATACACAAAAAGTTCTTTTGTAAGTTTTACATTTTGATGAGTAGAATTTTATTTAAACAAATTGTTCATTTTGTCCGGATTTTGGTGGCGGACCCTGTATATAGCCGCTCCGTGAAATTTTCAGGAATCTTTTTAGGTCGTAATTCGTGAGGTCTCGAAACTGCTATCATGTAATAACACACGTATGTTCGTGGATTTTGCAATTTATAAATTTCCGACGAACTTTGTTGCAGTTCACTTCTTCCCGTAACCTACCGACATAAATCAGTCGGTCGGCCGTACCACGAGGATGGCCGACGTGTAAACGCTCGCGTTACGATCCGATAACGAGCGAGAGGATGCGAGGTCCGCTTCTACATCTTCTGCCGTCTTCTTCCTCCCATCTCCCTCCCCTCTGCTTTCTTTCCACCATCCTCTGTCTTGTTCCGCGCGCCTATTGCCGAATTCCCTCTTCTGGTCTTCCGGGGATCATTTGCATAATAGCCTTTTTGAGCCAGCACACTAACGAGCCTACATTCAGAACTCCGCGTCCTACGTAAACCTGCACGTATACCCGCGTCGACCAGGACATTCCCCGGTCCCGTCGTCCTTTTATTGGGTGCAACTCCAAGTTATCTCCCGAGGCCCGGCGCAGTATTATATTATACCTTTGATTCAGCCGAACAAATACGAATTGAGCCACGTGGATACGATGTTATGTCTCATTCACATGGAATCATCGTGAACGTCACACACAGAAAAATATCATTCTATAATACTCTGATAAGAAAAGCAACTATTCAGTTTACTTTCCTTCTTTTAAGGAATGATTCTCTTCAACAAAGCATATTTTCTTGGTAATAGGAATGAACTTTCAAAAACCACCCATACTCCATTGCCATTAATTTTGGCTAAAATATTCCAAATAATATAAAATAAATACCTTCAAATGGATTTCCATCAATAAAGAAATTTAGTGCCAAAAATGCTCAAACATTATACAGAGTGTCCCAGAACAATCTCCGAAGTAGTTTTACCAAAATTGATAACAGTAAAGCGTACGAGTTTCCAAAAGTTCAATCAAATTCAAAGATAATGATACGCTTATAATAGAGTTGCGGATACATGAACTTATGAAATACTTGAAATAATTAACACTTATTTGAATGCAGTATACATTTTTCTGTGTGTGGATTGACGTATCGAGCACATTACCGTATCGCCGGGCGCGGAACGAGGCACAATGCACGGATCGATTACGTGCGCGCACATTAATCAACGTAGATACACGCGTTTCACGTAGTGAAATGTACATTCGGTGAAGGCTATTAGTATTGACGCTGACATGTACGTGTCAGGAGACTTATGAGCGGCTAACAGTTGTATGTGGAATCATGTGCATATATACCGTCGATTTCATATTCTATACTTGAAGATAAATATGTAGTGAATATGAGATGTATATAGAAATCTACAAAAGCATATAGGAATGTGCATCTGTATATGCCAGTGATCTTTAATTAAAATAGCCATTAAAAGTTATTTAATTAGAAAAGTCACGTTTAGAAGACTCAATTTTTAAATGTAAATATGTGCTAAGTGTGTTAAGTCAAATTTACTTGTTATATAATTTCTAACGCGAATCTAAAATAATGATGTTCTTACTGGTTATTCACGTAGCGTAGCACCGTTATTCAGCCAAAGAAGATATATATGCTAGTTTTCTACAGAATAATATAAACCAATTGTGATTGTATGACACGTAAAAGGATGTTGTGAAATTGTGGAAATGTCAAAGTGACGCGGAAGGTTAGGAAGTAAGGAGACCAAAATTGCACTCCACTAACCTTGGATAGAATCGCTATAGCGACCGCGACGCCTTTGGGTGCACTTCCGACGACGACGATCTTAATACGATGGCCATCCACAAGATGCTCCGCCTGTTTGGTCAGTAAGAAGGTCACCGTGTTGCCGGCGACGTCAAACGGTTTCCTTCTCAATTCCGTCATATTGGGCGCACCGATACGTTATTTTCTCGCAGGCACTGAACAGCTTACACGAACCGCACGCCGTCTGACATCCCTCCGACGAATACTCCGCGTGAAATTTTGCGCTCCGTTGAAACTCACACAAAATAGAGGGCAAGCAGGAAGGAAAAGCAGACAGTCGACATGAAAAAATATTCTTGACAGGAAGGCGATGAAGTTGACGGCGGATATGTAACAAGTAGCTTCACTGTCAATTCGAAATGCCTACGGTAAAATTGGATATGCAATAAGGCGGTCGAATTGCTTTTGTATCAAAAGCACGGGACGTGAGAGAGCTATCTCTCTTTTTCTCTCCCTCCCCCTCCTCTCTCTCTCTCTCTCTCCCCCTTATTTCTCTCTCTCTCTCTCTCTCTCTCTCTCATTCTCTCACTTTCTACGCCTCTCAAGTCCGATATATCTTGTACGTTCACGATGTACCGTACATGCGAGATGTGAACCTCCGGTTATCTTCCGCGACCGGAGATATACAATCCGATTAACACGTTCGATCGCGAACGAAAAGATACTATCGATAAATCCAATCGCGCCGTACAGAATCAATCATCATGTCGGAAAAAACGCTCCTTACGAAGGTACAATACGAAGAGGCGAGCGCGGTATGAGCAGATGTAGTGTCGAAATCAAACCAAACGGCCGATGTATCGCCTTCGTCTGCGCTTTTTGTTTTCTCGGTGGATGGAAGGTCGCGAAATTATTGATCGACAGCTGTTCGACTCGCGCACAGGTGGGACGCGCGTTTCTGTTAAAGGATACTTTCAATTTCCGTTTTGCGGGATACCCGAGAAGGCCCTGCGGAATCGATTTTCATTTCCCCCGCCGCGAACTAGAACCGGTCCGTTATCATTACGAAGACGTAAGCCTGTCTCGTTCGAACGGTCATTCAATATCCTCATTACTGCTGCTCTTTTCTGACAGAGCAGAACGTTGAAATTTGAGGCCCATGCGAGTTCGAGCGCGTCGAACGGAACGATTTCACTGCGTGGCGGGGAAACATAAAAGCGAATGTAGAAAAAGGTTGTAGTTGAAATTATCCAATCTCCTTTAGCCGCAGCTCAGGCGAGCTCGTACTCGCTTCGCGTGCAACGGAGAATGCATTTTCATCCGACCTCTCACCTCTCTGCCGTGCATCGTTCGGCTGCGTAAATCAAAATTCGATCGAGCAAAAAAGAGGCGAGATAGGTAATAAGCTCCGCACGCGTGGAACATTGTAGCGCGGGGTTGCATGTAACCGATCGCGAGCAATCTTAGGCGAGCATGGTTGCTTTAATTTTCCAGGAAGTCGAGTTTCACTGCTCTTGTATATCGTTTATTATGGCGCTCGAGTGCACGCACGCACGCGGAAACCGGTCGCCAGGTGCAGAATCGCCCGTTATTGATGAAGACGCCGTTCTAAACTGTCGTCCTCTCCTTCTCCCTGCTCTCTTTCCTCCTTCTTCCTCTCTTTCTTCTTCTCCCTCGTGATTTCCGTCGCACATCCGCTTTCGCAGATCCTCCACATTTCTCGCCCCCCTTTCCTCCTTCGCCGGTCGGTCGTCACTCCTCAATGTCGTCTGTTTCGCGAAGAATGCCGCACTCGCGCAGCACACCGCGGATGTTGTCGGCACACTGTTGCACCGCTGCCTTTTCCTGATCGCTCAGCTTCTGTCGCACAGTGGCGTACACACCCTCGCGACCGAGAACACAGGGTACCGACATGTACACGTCCTTGTCGGTTCCGTGAGAACAGCTCTGTGAACAGAAGATTCCTTCAGCTTGTTCCCCTCTGTCGAGCTGATCGACACGCAAATAAGCGCCTCTCGGAGCGCGTTCGTTTAACGCGTGAATGTTTCAGTCACTCGTCGCGCAGTCCCGGAAAAGGACTCACTCGCAAGAGGAGTCACTCGAGAATCGACCGAGTGGCGAGAGGAGGTGAAGGATTAGGTCGCTCGAATACACGGGTTTTCACCTTCTAATTAATATAGCGCGCAGTGAAAAGGAGGATGTTAAAAATGGGTCGTTTTTACCCACTAATGGAATTTTAACTAATCATTGCATACTATTTCTGGGATCTTTTGGGAATAGAAAATAACAATTATATATCCATCAAGCACAGGGAAAAAATCGAGATTTGTTAAAGTAGTTATATAAAGTATAGTATTCTTGATATATGTTTAAAATAAAATAAATTGCACATTTATATCTTGAGAAGTGAGTAGAAAATGTAGAGAAATTTGTTTTTTGTTTACGTAATATTTATGTGTTGTACATACAAAGGGATTTGAAAATCTCAAATAAAATATTTCAAAACTTGTAAGTTTTAGAATGAAACTTTTTAGACAAAAGTTGTAGGATTTAGAAGGGGGAAAAAGATAATAATATTCATTCGAATAATTTCTCCCAGTTTAGGCTTGAAGCTTATTCTTAACATATTCTTCTTTAAGATTCATATAAAATTCTATAATTCCAAATTGCTTCTGTATTAGATTTACAATCAACTATATCTTATCCATATTTCATTCGAAAAATTGTGCAAGTGGAGAAAATAATATTTTGTGTATCGTAGAGGAGACTCCAGCTCGTTTTTCGAGTTGCATTATTAATTAATACATTTGTATACAGATTTTGATCAAAGTAACATCATCATTAAGCCCATCAAAGCCCATCCAATGTTTCCAATAAATTTTCGAAATGTTCATTTAATGATATCTCTTACGTGTATGTACGTCGAAGCTGGCAGCACCATTTTGGTATTCCTGACTATAGCGTCGACGATTTCAGCGGTGCAGAAGCCCAGAGCCCAGCAGCTCGGCCCTTTATCGCCTTTCCTCCGATTAAGCTCGGCGTCGCTGTAAACGCAACGTACATTTTACTACTTCTCTAAATTCTCACGAGAACGTCCGAGACGTTTCTTAACCACTAACGTTTTATTTACAGCTTCGGCGATGTCACGCCACTTCTCGGGATCGTCGGTTTCGCCCATTCTTGGGTTTATGTCGCGTATCTTCGTGCCCGCCACGTGAACGCTTGACCATATAGAAACTGTGTGTGGAACAGATGTTAAAGGCTGAAGAACGTCGCCTGTTAACTGTTAGGCGAGGTCGTTTATAGTACAACCAAAATATACGTGATACTTAAGCACGATCGGTGTGCTCACCGCATCACGATACAATCTCAACGTATACTTTACAATGTTCGGAAGTAATGATGATGCCGAAACAAACGCGGGATACATGTCCAAGTGCAGTCGTATAAAAGATATAGTCGATAAAAGAAGGAGACCGGTCAGCCACAAGTCGGCGGCAAATTAGTCGAGTAATGTCGCTCACGTACCGGACGTGTCGCCCTGCGCGCCGATATTCATGCAGCTAATCGACTTGCGCGCTACTCCCAACTTCTGACTCAGTAAATCCTGCAGCCTGCAGCTGTCCAGCAGAGTCCCCGTGCCGAGTACGCGGCTCGAGGGAAACTTGGACAACTTCCAAGTGATGTACGACATCACGTCGATCGGCTGACTTACAACCAGCAACACCGCCTTACACGCCAACTTCGCGATAGTAGGGATGATCTTCTTAAACACCTCGACGTTGTGTTTCACATCCAATTTCTCCCCTGGCTTCCTCTCGCAAACCGCGATCACCACTACCGTCGAGTCCTTCACCTTGTAGACGTCTGAAACATAATCGACCATCCTCGACCTCCGATCTTAGATCCAACACAGGATTTCTAAGTACGATCGTGCATTTTAATCTCTCCCGGCTTTTCCCCAGGAAGAACGAGCAAGTTAAGACATCAATTTCACCGAAGCCTTTGCAGAGGACACTCGAATATTTATGCAAAAGCTGTTGTATAACGGGAAATACTTCCGTTAAGAATCGAACCTCCCGAGGAACCCTTCTCAGTCCTTGGGACGTCTTATTCAAGCGCGCAATCATCAGCTACTCGGAAGCGCGTGGAATACAAAACGACGAGATAGGATGAGAAGTTTTCTTCCCTTTCGAGGGGAAAGAAAGAAAGTGAGATTCATGATCGGCGGAGATGCGCCGATAAAGACGACGAGGAAGACAATCCAGCGCGGCCGGAAAAATAAAGAGTACAGATCCGAGGCAACACCTTCACAAAGTGCTTGTAGTAACACAGCAGTACCGCGCGCGCGGCCGTACGATAGATACATTTACGACGGAGAGATGTTGTTACAGATAACTCGGCAAGCCCGTAAAAAAGTCGTCCCACTTGTTCTGGTAATTGCTACCTCGCACGAGACAAGATCGGAAAGAGCCGATTCCGCTATCCTGCACGTACCGAATGCCGGCTAAGTTGACGCTACTTTATCCGCATGGACGACGGAAAATTCGTATCAAGACCGAAATCGCTCCCGAGGTCAAACAGAACTCGACGTATCGCGACGCACATATATAATTCTGGACGTCAAGTTTCATTATTTCGGTTTCCCTTGCCGTCTCACGAGGAAGAATTCCCACACACAGAAAAATATCATTTTGCTACTATCATTTTACTATTTACTGATTTTAACTGATAAATTTTGGTTCGTTCATGTTTTACTAGAGACATTTAATTAATGTAATCAAATTTTTCTTCGCGCGCGCGTGTATGAAATATATAAATTTATTTACGGTTTATATACACATATTTACGGTTTATATACACATATTTACGGATATAGAAACTTGAAATGAAATACTGGCGATAGATAACATCTACTTGAATGTAGTACATATTTTTCTGTGTGGATGAAGAATTTTTACAAGCTTTTACAAGCGCTGAACCAGCTCGTCGGACGGAATAACCGCGCGCTGCGAAGACAGGAATAGAAAACCGCATCGTGAAGTCGATCGTGGCCGAGATAAATAAGAGTGGACGAAATTTACGAGCGTGTTCATGAAAAACTCAAGGGAAATGTTCAGCTTGTGCAAGAGCGCAGTGATGTAGATGAGGATCGAGATTAAAGGACGAACCCGAGGGGAATCTCGATCCCCGAAACTCGCCGCGCTAACCCAAAACCCATTTTTTTCCCTGTCAGTACGCGAGAACGTCGTGGCCATTGTTTCTGATCCGCTGCACGTTGACAGCAGCCTTTTGACGGGTAATCTGATGGGTCGTCGCCTGAAATGGGCGTTGATCGGAATCGATGATCAGGACGCGCGATGGACGCACAGTTGACGCTCGGCAGGGCTCATCAGTCCAAACGTATCAATCTAAAATTTCTGGAATTCGTGTCGCGTCGTGAATTCAACTGCCTCGTTTTTAACGCCCGGAAGGTCTATTTCATCGATCAGTTCGCTTCACGATTAGTTTACGATCCGTCGATCCCGTGATCGTGAAAGAAGCAATGACGACGAAATTTTTCGGAGTGTGAATCGTTGTGACAACTTCAACGCCGGACATAATTTGACACGTATAATGCGACGGACGGACGGACGGACGTGCTTTTTCAAAATAATGTATGATTCAAAGATAGCCAAGAAAATCACAATTTGGGTAGGAAAGTTATTATAATTTTTATCTCTCATAATGAGGGGAGATCGGATCTAGATAACTCCAGAGATATGTTACTCATGTGCTTTTTTAGTATTTATCTTGAAAGGAACAATGGATACAAAATGATCCTTTTAAAACATAGATATGTTTCTCTGAAGTCCATTAAAATCGGAATAATATTATTGTTAAAAAATTTAAAAAATTGATTTAATAGCAAAGTAAATTTTCGAATCTCTCGATTTCGTATTAATTTTGTAAAAATTAGTACAAAATTAAATTTTATTAAAATTAAGACAAAATTTTAATTTTGTAAAAAATTTTGTATTAATATTCTTGTAAGTGAATAAAGTTAAGTGATGTGTTACTTGTTAAAATGAAATTTGTTACAAGTATAATGCATACTGTTTTAAAATAAAAGCAGTTTTCATTTATAAAATGATGAAAATTGAATATATAGGTAAGGTGGCGAAATTTTAGATTGATACGTTTGGACTGATGCCGAAGTGATGGCGAAGGTAAGGTTGGTCCATAATTAAAGGCCGATAGAAGGACTGTGGAGATCTTTCACGGAGATCCTGGAACTACTAATCAGGATACATATTTTATACATAACCTTCTTACCCTACGTTACTGGACAACTGAACCCGGTAGCAGGGCAAAATGGCTGTGTTGCTACGTGTTTGCGTATTTTGATTATTACAAGATAAAATATATAGTTAACATGATCTTTAAAGAAGGCTATTTCTATTATGTTTGTACACAACAATTAGTTGTTTGAGAAGTTGTAACTTCGAAATTCTGAAATATAGGCCCTGGTCTCCAACCCCTAATGTCTAAAATCTAAGTCCAGCACAAAAAATATACCAAATAATTATATTCTTTAAGCTTTCTTAAATACTTTTATGACATTCAATGAAACAAATATTTCTGAACTGTTGACTTTAGTTTACGGAAAATCGTTGGGAAAACTCTCGCCTTCTACTTCCGCTTCGGATATCAATCTAAGGTAATAAAACGCCGAATAATGCAGCAAGTTTAATGGTTAACGGTTAATATTTTATGATCCGCGTAATTTCTCTGTCTTCATCGCGCGTGATTTTACGAGCATACCTGGTGCGAAGCTTAATTAATTGAAATGTAATGGAATACCTGATGTGCCCGTCACAAGCGGACATCCCAGAAAGACACCAGCGTGTTGAATGTCTTCGGCTTCGGCGGCAGCCTTTTCCAAGTTCTGATCGATCAGACAGACCTCGCTCGCTATTCGCTGAAAATCAAGCAAGACAAAATCATCGATTGAACATGGTGGGTTGCGTATCCCGTTACATGGATATACTAACTTTCATCAGAAGCGCTATGGCGCAAGCCATGCCAACTTTTCTTACACCCACGATCGAAACTTTGGCGCCGTTCGGATAAACGTCGCATGGTCCTAAATGCCTCGTTGTTAAAGCGTTTTTCGTGGTAGTTGTCGTGATCGAGGTCTTGTCGACCTATCAATTATCTCATATCAAATATAATGAGATCGGAAAACGCCAGCAATTATTATTTGTCAAGAACTTATATCTCAAATTATAAGTAGCATTAATTTCACAAGCGTTAATAAACGCACAAAATTGCTCTAGTTATTTCAAATTCTGCATTCGACAAAAATTCTAAACGAATATTATTCCAGACTTACATCATCACATTCATTTTCATCGTGCGTCCTGCTGTCGACCATGCCCTCCTCTAAAATATCCTCCCTTCTGGGCACGTCAAATCCTTCGTCGGCCATGCTGCGGTCGTTGCTGTTACTTTACCGAACAGCTGTGCGATAGTCGTACGTTTAGTGAAAGCATGATCACACCATTCTAATTGTATTCTTTTAGTTGAAGTAAAAGTTACTAAACCCGGGCACATACTTAATTCTGGACATTCTTATTACTTTTGTCTTTAAACATTTAAACTTTCAACACAAAAAATATATATACGCGGAGAAAATATTATAACATCTTCATGTAAAATATTTTTAATTTTACTGTTTTTAGTAGTCTAGGAATAGATTGTTAGTAAAGTCCATTTTGCTAAGGAACACAGTAAATTTCGCTAGAAATATAACAAATTTTTTAATAGCACATTTCAGTTCGCACGTCTTCCGCGCATGAAATAACCAATCATCTTTCACTGATATCTCAATAATCACCGTAGTTTACCACGATGTAGTTTAAAACGATTGAGAAGTTTCATTCGGATGTTCTGCATGCACACGAGCTTTCGGACACCTAAATCCAGTCGTCCTCATTACCTGAATCACGTGACTTCCCTTGCCCACGTTATTAACCGCACGGACGCTCGTCAAGGTGGTCGGCGCTTCTCAGGAAGGGGCTCAAATGAGCGGCGTGTGCGAGTCGTCGCTGCTTACGCTTATGCAGATCCGGATCGACCTACGCAGAAACGAGTCATCGGTTTTTGAGGTGGAATCAGGTACCTCCGTTATGAGGAAGAGAGAACGTCCGGACGACTGCGGGAGCAGAGTGCGAGGGGTAACCCCACGAGAGAAACTCTAGCCGGGAAGAATAACGACGGAACTTATCCGCGCGCCTCGCTGTAAATTAGCCGCAGGTAGTCGTCGTAGAAACGCAGCCTATCCCCTCGGCTCCTCCGTGTCCCTCCCCCGCAACGTTGCGTCGGTGTACCGTCACGGATATACCCACGCGCCTCTGCTCGTGTATGTGTGCGTGTGTGTGTGCGCGCGCGCGCCCGTAGAAGCGCGTAAAACACGCTGCGCCAAGACCTATTAGTCGGTCATGGCGAATGAATATGATTTTAATGACTGTTCCGAATGAAATAATTAACCCCGCGTCGTGCGCTAAATCATACGCGGCGCTTTTAACGCCCGCCGCGCGAAGGAAGGAAACTCCTATCGATAGTAGACACGAAATTTTTCTCCCAGGAGATACATCACCGCCGACGGGGATAAATCAACGATGGTTTACGACGGTTAATGACGGAAGCCATTACGCCGCGGTGTGTTTTGAATTCTTCCTCTCGTGGAAGATGCGGCGTGTTTCGCAGACTCTTGTTTCGCTCCGAACGCTAATTAATGACCGCGCTTATCTCTATATCTGTAACCGACAGTGCGTTCGTTAACTTCGCGATCGCGCCGCGATGGGAAGGTTATGCAAAGCGAAGCATCTCGGATTTATCGACGGGACGGCGCCCTTGCAATCTGACGCGGGGACTCACGGGACGTGAGTCCCCGCATTTACTTTCGGGACGACGGGTGGACGGCGGATTATTAATGTCAACCTGCTATATTATCCCCGGGACGTGCCTGAAGACACTCCGGGCGAGCCGCGTGGCGAAACACGCGATGCCACATATAATTCATCGCCGATATACGCGTTGAAAGTAACTTGCCCCGCTCGATATAACGCTCGAGCGACAATCCCGGCCATCCGAAGAGAAAGGGAGCAGCTGAAAGAGCAAAACTTTTCCATTTACTTTGGTGGCCGCCGATAAATCACGGCGGCCCAGCCGCCGCTGCATTTAGAAGTAGCGTGCAAGGCGTGCCCGGTAGTTCGGGGGTAGCCACACGGCGCGGTTTTTGAGCACACATTCGAAGATGGATCTGCCCCTCTCGAGGAGTCTCGTTTCTCGCGCTCGCGCGGCCCATACGCGCACAGGCAAACATACGCAGGCCGGGCCGTACGGACACATTCAATTTTAGCGTTAATAATCGCTGGGAAAAATGACGACCTTAAACGCGGCCATTCATCAGGGCCGATCGATATTGCGAATGCGCCTTAACGACGGAGAGATACCATCGAGCGTCCAACGCTGCAGAGTTATTGAATCGCGTCAAATAATATACGAGCCAATAATGTATGAATAGTCCTGCAATTATGGCCCGCCGATCGTATCTAGAGGCGCGTTGTAATTTAGTAATCGTTCATTCTCACCGCACTGGACAGTGGGGATCGGCGGATATCGGTGAATATCCGATCGTCCGCGGATCTTCCGCGACGTCCCAAAGCAGTGCCCGAAGTTTCAAAGGAAGAATACGCAATTCCCCTGGAATCGTTCTCCTCCCGTTCTCTCCGACGCGCTACTTCGCGCTACCTCGTCTCCGATTCTCCCGCAACGGTTATCTCTCGCTGTAGGTTGCATCGGGATTGTAATAGGATAATACGTTTTGCGCCTTTTTTCATGACCCCGTGACGCTCGCGGCCATTCATAATACCAGTTAAAATCGGTATCTACCAATTAAACGATTTCCTAATAACATCCACGCCGGAACGAGCAGGTGAGGAAGTAATTTCGTGCCTGACATTTATAGTTAGAGCGCCCTGATCCAAGCGCTCCGCTTCCAGATAATTAATTCTCCGCCTTAATTAATCACCCTGCGAATTTTATTGAGCGTCGAGGTCGCGAGACAATGCGCGATCGATGTAGCATCGTTGCACGCGCGCGCGAGTCCTCGACGCGAGACGGAGCTCACCGATCAAAGTCGATATCTCGGCAATCTTCGTGATCCTCGGCTCGTGCGTTCGGATCGCTATTGTAACCGTGATGCCCAAACGTTAAACGCGCCGAAGAAAGAGAGGGGGAAGAAAGAAAAAGAGAGAGAGAGAGAGAGAGAGAGAGACCCTCGCAGGAGGACACGAATCGACCACGATAAAGGCGTGATTCGACGATAACGATGTCTCGTGAGGCAAGATTTAGTCGAGTGGACGGTGCAAACGAGCCTCCGCTTACCGCGAGGATAGTCCTCGGAGGTTGGTCGTAAGCAACCGTTCTTCTGGTACCCAGACCCAGTCAACCGATCCAGACACTGGCTCGCGCATGCCTTCGGTGCACAATGGTTGGTGGTACTGCAGCTGATACAAGTATGTTCGCCGTGCAACCGGAATTTTAATTGGCTATTTGTTTGTCCGCTACACTTCGTGGAGCTGCTATTGTCCGCCCTGCCGCGGGAGAACGACCATCACCTTTCTTCTCTCTTTCTCTTGCCCCATCCCCCTCCCCCTCGTCTCACCCATTCTCACCTTCTTCCGCTGCTGCTGCCGCTCGCTTTTCTCATCGGCGGGGTATTAATCTACTTTTAAGAAAAGAAGCACTCTCTCGACAGCGTCGCCCCTTCAACGTGCTAGAATTGTTACGTTTAATCCCTGAAATTAGAAATCTTTTTTCGGGCCGTCGAGCCGCTGTGAAGAAAGAGTTGGAAATTAATTGAATTTTTAAGGCCAATACTCGCGCTCACGCCCCGATTACTCGTCACGTTATGTTGTTCACGATACTATAAGAAGTACATTTCCGAAACCGTTTAAACTTTTTATCCTCACTCCCCTCACATGTTCATCACGATGTTAATCCGGGGGTAAACGTGCTCCATTTTGTCGTACATATTCGCTTTTTTAATTATACCAATTTATTAATAATTTCATATTTTATCTTACACGTAAATTTTTCTTAATCTTTCTTTGCATAATATAAAATAACAGAACATTCCAGATGTAAATTTTTCCGATAAAAATTAACAAACAGATATTTCCGATTAAAATACCGATCAATTTTAATATCGAATGATTTTTCTCAGTGTATACTGAAAGAAATTATCCGATAAAAAATTAACGAACGAATATTTCGAATCAAAATACCGATGAATTTTTGTATCCAACAAGGAAATATCTGATGAGAAATATCGGTTCATAATTTTTTGATCGGTTTACCTGATGAAATGCCATTATGATCGGAAATATTCGATTAAATTTAATCGAATATAAAAACTGATCAGTATTTTGATTGGAAATATCCGTTTATTAATTTTTTATCGAATAATTTCTCAGTGTATCAATTGCTAATTTGTTATAATACATGTTTGTGCCGATACATAATTCAGTCAAAATGACCAGGAAGCGTCTACTAACATTAGTCAAAAAGAAATTCACGCGCTTACTCCCAGGTTAACAATTATATCCTCGTCTGTTTTGGTACTATTTTTGTATCGAGCGTACGTCTCGAACAGAATTTAATTTGGTGCGCAAGTCTCGATTTTTCCTGGTAATGCGCTCTAATAAATTAGGAAGTTGCAGGATTGCCGTTCGGTGTAATCAACGATACAAGAACCGACACGGTTCAGTTGTCGTGTGGACTGCCCGAAGCGGAGCGAAGAACGTCGCTCACGATCAGCTCGGCCCGAAACCCAGTGTTTTTTGCACTCTCCGTGATACTTACTCCAATTAAAACCTTGCCTCTATTTTAGGCCAGGTCCTAAGGGTTCTCGACGAGAGGCCCAAATGAACGGCTCCAAAAGGGTTCCCATACACACACACACACACACACACACACACACACACACACACACACACACACACACATCACGGTCGCGAAAGAAGAAGTCAGTGCCATGAATCTCTCGAAGGTCGCGAACGCGGAATCGGTAGCTCGACGAGCATTATCGCGTTTCCGCGCGTTGCATTCTGATTAATCGCCTGTGCTGTTCGCAAAGGCCGCGTGATTCATTTCCAGCGCGGTAATGTAATTGTGGACTAGTTGAATGAGCCGCGCTCGGTACTCTCCTCCGCGAGATCGACGCGCGTAATCTCGCCAATGATCGGGCGCGATATCAAAAATTCGCCAACGCGTACTTTCAATCGCGCGCGGGAGATCCCGGAGCGCAAGAGATATCTCGTAGGAGGTCGGGACTTAGAGGTAGTACCCCGGCCACGCGGTACGACCCCCGTGGCTCGCTGAAATATCGCGCGGACGCCGGTTCATTTCGATATTCCTGGCCCTGGGGCCTCGATGAGAAGAACTCTTCTCGGGATCGGGGCGGCGGAGGAGGGCCCCGGCGAGAGACCTCTCGTTTTATTACATCGCATCGGCGAGGGGCGAGGCCGATGCGCAATTGTTTATGCTCGTGTCCCGCCCTATCGGACGCATCGGACACATTCGAACGTACCTACCACGTATACGCCGTGCGCGCCGGCGAAACAGACGTCGTACGCGCGCGCTCGCTGAACGCTGTATACCCTACCCCTCCTCCTCCTCCTCCTCCTTTTCTCGTCCTGCTCCTTCTCCTCCTCGCGTCGTGCTCCACCTCTTTGTTTCTTCGTTCAGGCTAAGATTATTAATGGCCAGACCGAGGCCGATACCCTCAAGTGTCAGCCCCGTGACAATGACGAAGCTCGCACCTCGAGTCCACCCTCCCTTTCCTGTACTCCCTTTTCCTCTTACTCGTCGGAGGACTCGAGCGCAGTGCGTTAACGCGTGCGTGACTACGATTGACGCCGCGGGTTACTGCGCTGAAAACGTGATATAACGGGTCGATTCACGAGTACTGGGACAATTGGCTTTTCTTGCGTTACTCATTAAATTTCCTCAAGTGGCATTCCATTCGAAAACTGTGTGACAACTAAGTCATTCGAAATCAGCCGAGCCG